CGAGTTATTTATTTCAAAGGTGGTATTTAATGAAAAACACAATGTAGACATCAAATGCCTGTCAGTAACATTGTTGCTGAAGAGAAATGGTTCAAAACTGAGGAAGATGTAATTGCTGAAACAATAATGCTGTTTAATGAGACGTCGCGTCGAAGAAAGACTTTTTTTTCTTATATATCATTTACCATTTCAATTTTTGGGATAAACGTCTAAATATTTGTAAGTTTTTCTTTATCATTGTTAGCTTATTAGTCCATTTGGTCCTGTATTATGTTTTAATACTGTTACAAATTATCTCAATCTTTCTTCTTTCTTCACACTAAGTGGTTCTTCAATGTTTATAACAATAGGTCCCTTTGTATCATCGTTCAAAGCATCATCTTTGTCTACAGTCCACAGTCTATGCTAAACACTATAGAATCTTGTTTGCACACGTTATCTGGGACCCATTAGCACCCCATTAGCACCCATTTACATGCTACCTTATCTTTCTCTTTCTTTTGCGGACGTATTAAGGAGAAGACTACTAATATTATCATCGTGTAAAGTTTACGACTGTAAGGACATGTAATTTTCCATTGATACAAATAAAATATAATTTATTGTATAAGATTAAAGTTTCGAGTAAATCTAGATTGTTAAAATATTTTTGTTATTATAAAAACTTAAGTTACATTTGTAGGGTGACCACAATTCGAATTAAAATAACCGCGTTATATTGGTCAGCATATCCTTACAAAGCATTTTCTAACCTACTTTACATTTTCTGAGAACGCTTCCCCTTAAGATGTTTGTATTTTGGCTACTTTAGCTACCGGTTTAAAGTAACATGCTGATTTAGGAAGCTAAAAAGCTAATGCTAATCCTTTTCACGATAAGGAAACGTTTTAAAACAAACAAAGAGGTAAACATATCTAAATGTACAACTAAGATATACTCGAAAAAGTACAAAGGACACAGTCACTTTCTTAAACGATGATGATGATTTTTACTTCCGTGATAAGGCTGACCTCAAATAGAAAAACTTAATAATACATCACCTGATTCATAAATATCAGGAAGCACGTACCGAACAGGAAAACCGTCTACACAATAAGAGGTAAAAAAATTAAAATGGTAATAAATTTCCAACAATTAATAAAACAATGTAAAATAAAGCAATTGGAACCGCAACAGACAACACAACAAACATTACATAAGAATGAAATGATCTTGCGTCTCCTCCGGTCTCAAGGGCGCAAAGCGTCAATATAAACATTGAGTCATATCATGGTGAACTTGTTAATGCCTTGACCGTGTGAGAATAGTGCAAGTTTCAGTTATTTTATGTATTATATTCAGTATTGACCATAAAGTATGTATATTATGTTTAATTTGCTCGCCATTTCGATTTTTGTATCTTTAAATATTTTATTTGGTCATTTGTTTGCAATAAGGGTTTTATCAAAGTCCAGTTTGCCAAAAAACAACAGGTTTTGTAGGTTTGCCCTCATTATATCCTCGTTCGTCATTTTCTTCTTCATCATCATTAGTTGTCGGTTAGAGGGTTCTAATAAAAGGTCTTCGATTTACAAAATTACTGTAAAAAATATTTGAAAATAATATCCTCTCTAGCAAAAGGAAATAGGTTTTAGAAATACAATTTCTAAAGTCAGCAAACATTTCCATCGGCTCTCGTTACAATTTCAAAATTCAATTGCGCCTTAACAATTTCTTCGGTAATTAGTTTTAGAACAAACGCCATGTGATTAATTCTGATCAAAACAATGTGTATGCAAACAATGCCAAGTTTAATGAGTGTGAAATAGTGCATAAGTAATAACAGTTTGCTATTATAACCCGGTACCATAGTTACTAGTTTTTGTGGGGTAGTTTCTTTGCCATGCTTTATTTAAGTTGTGGATTTCTCTTCTGTATTTTAACTTGTATGCTTATTACTTTACTTCTTTGCTGAAGTGTCGTATGTGTCTTGTCAATGCTGTTCACCCAATCCTAGTCAATTGTCATAAATGCCAGTTGATTTAATGTGAATAAAAAACTTGCTTGGATTAACTAACAATAAAATCGCGGGTTACTCACGTGAATATACTGAGAAAAGCTCTACTAGTTACGCGCAGCCTACTGCGCGAAATCGCCGTGGCGCTGCTCATGAGGAAGAACCCCTCTGTGGTTCGAGACTAGTAGAGATTTTCTCAGTATATTCACGTGAGTAACCCGCTATTATTTTGTTAGTTAATTTAGTATGTCTCACGATAGTTATTATAAAAAATAAAAACACATCCTTTGATATAATACAGTCCCGTGCATTGAGTTCAACTCATACTCGTATTTGTTTAGAACTTAATTAAAATCTGAATGATTTATCGATGAGCTTAGTATTATTTTTTCCTAAGTTTCGATAAGTTAGCACGATATGCAACACTCGACCTAATTTATGCAGATTTAAAACAAATACGTGCCAGTATGTTTGCAAGCGTATCTCTTTACATAATAGCACCATTCCAGACACTGTTTGCTTGCCAATTCATATGAATACGAGGTATAAGTAAACAATATTTTGTGTTGTCACTAATAGAAAATAATCTGGTACTATGCCCGATGTTTTGCGAAGGCCTTTCCCTATAATGGTTCATCATGTTGAAGTCTACTATATATGAAGTCTACTATATTGAAAGTATGATTACCTTTTAAAGTAACAGGATTTTAATGTAATCAGCATTCAATTTTAAATCATGACTCATAGATTAGCAGGAAGGGTCTCATTATACTAGTAACGGCAAGCCACGGTAGCAACTAAAGTACCCCCTTCATCAACCATTAGAATAGACTGCTAGTCTAGTCGACATTTAACCACGTATTTCTCCAAATAATAGGATCATTCAGAAACATAAATCTCTGATATACAATTCTGGAACAGCAATAATAGCAAATCTAGGTCCATTTTCGCTATCAAGTTCCCGGCTTTTGTGATAACGTATACAACACTAACTCGAAACCGAGAACAGGGAACAATGTGGGCGGTGACCCTATTAAATTGCGGATATGCGGAATTTATATGGTAATGCAGTTCATGCAGTAGCTAAGGGCTGCCTACATAGTTTCAGTAAATGTAACATTCATGAAACACGCCTTTTAAATTCGTAGAAGTAGGAGTAGTAAACCCCAGTTATGTAGTAAGTCCTTTGGACGGAAGATGGACGGAGTCCTTACAATGAGGTGAACATAATACCAAAATTGTAATGCTAAATTATAACTTAAGATGACGCAATAGCTATTTTAGAAACTTTAACCTAACCTATTCAGTTTGGTGCCTGTATTGCATCATAGACGATTTAGAAAAAGGATTTTTCTTGAAGAATCCATAGATATGATGAGAATGAGGCGTACTTTAAGGTTAAGGCACGCCTAAATCTTTTAGAAGCATTCACAAGTCTAAATATAGAAGGTGTTCACAAAGTACACCATATTAGAAAATCTAAACAAATAATCTATTCTGTAATCAATGTGTTTAGTAAGGAGATAAATTAGCAACAGTCCGTATATGGATTGATATTCTATGCGCGTGCGACCCGACCCTGCAGTATAAGGCACAAGGCCGGCAGACACAGTAATATGTAACACCTACGTCATTATGGAAATGCTCCAGATTTTGTTTAAATGACTTTTATGCAGAAATATTACAGGTTTAGGTCAAGTGTGTCTAGTGAACTTAAGTTTAATTATCGAGTCCTATTCTGGATCGGATTTCCTGATTGTATGCTTTATAATTTAGTGTCTGGAATGGTGCTTGGTATATGGTATTAGATTCGACAGATAGGGTAGTTCAACATTGGACAACAGAGACTAATAAAAAAATATGTCGAAGAGAAAAAAGAAAGAACACAATGAACTATAGTAAAGTTAATTTGTAACTTAGTACTGGGCGTCAGTTTGCTAAAGAATCACCGGATATCGGCGCAGCGATCAAGGACAAATTACTTGATTGAAGAGGAAAGGCTTATGTCATACTTATTTCGACCGTGCAAAATAATTGCACAAATGTTTTTAAGTAATGTGTCGTGAAGGTGTTTATACGCTTGCTTGTATTCGTTATTTTTGTATATTCCTTGTAAATGAGGTATGGTCCACAGACACTTTATCCACATTTTTTCACAGTTGTATTGTTGATTCCATTGTAATAAAGGTTCATCGTAAACTAAAATTTCTTTACAAACCCGTGGATCAAAACTTGATATCTCATTCTTACAACCAAGAGAGACTTAACTTTTCCATTGTTAATTTCACATGAGAAGTAATAAGTATTGTTTAATATAATGGCTTGCTTAAGTCACGCATCGACGCCTTTACCTCATTTGTATGCAAACCGCCTACAGGTGATTAGTTAGTAATTATTAATTAATGATGTTGGCTGATTGCCAATCTTAGTACGGGACATCGAGCTTGACAAGTCCAGCTAAACATGATCTCGATTTGAATGATCTTTTCGCACATTTAACGTTTCAGTTTATATTGGTTTTGCATAACTTGGTGTGTGTATACGCATACCTCGTCTTCTGCTGTGTTAAAAACTATGTCATCAGATTTTAATGTTCCTTTATTTTTCTCGGTTTATATTTCATTTGTTTATTTTTTCTTCTCGTGATTTTGTAACCAACGCTTTATGTTCGAGATATCATTATAATTCACTTTTGAGTGTTTTTTGTGTGAAGTTTTCTTTTTTTATTTTAGTTTGTTTTACGTTTTATTATTGGTTTCTGGCGCTTGTTCTTAATATAATGACCCATTTAGTTTTTTTTATGATTTCGTTGTCGTTAAATTATGTTTACCTTACAACTTTCTGTACTTACATGATTGGTGTAATAGGTTAGTTCGATACAAAGTGCTTCGAATTCTTTCACTACATGGAACAACTGTTTGTTGAATTCTCTTTAGTCCTACTTTTAAACAAAATTATTTCCTCTTACTTTACTTTTTGTTGAACAATCGTCTCTTTGTTTCAGATGTGTCTCACGGAATGGATAAGGCTCCGCGACTATAACAGCGGGCGCCCCCGTAAGGTGCTAGGCCGGGAGATCCCACCCTGGGTATGGGAAGCTTACCAAGTAATCGGCGTGTTCCTCTTCGGATGCGCCTGTCAGCAGCTCACCACTGATGTGGCCAAGTACACCATAGGAAGGTTGAGGCCGCATTTCTTTGATGTAAGTACAATTTTCACTTAAACTGCTTCACTGTTAATCAACAGAATCCTGTACGGAATAGGCTTTTATATGGTCTTAAAAATAGCATTTCAGAGATAAAGTGAAATGTACCAGTACAAACAACAGAAAAAAGGATTTTACGTTGCTATAAAATTAATCATAATTAAAGGAATTGATGATTAGAATTTTCGCAATTTATATAATTTAGCTTTATACGAAGTCCTAACGTGTCAACAAACTATGTGTTTTTATTTATACATGTCGAATAATTACAGAGACTTGCGTCGCTCCCTAAGTAACATAAAATTAGAGATTTGGCTTGCTCAGAACGTATTCATTCGGCACGGCACAGTGACAAATTGCTGTACACTAATCGTTATTAGCGTGAATAGCTCTTTTATGTGTTACTAGTTTTTACCCGCGGCTTCACTCGCGTCACAAAAGGATAAAACGTAGCTATGTGACATATACCAATACACACAGTGCCATCTATACCAATACTTTTGTTTTCCCTTGGGAATATAAAATTTTTCCGGGATAAAAGTACCCTATTATTTAATCCGGACTTCTAATTTTACGTCTGCAAATTCAAAGTAATCGGTTTAGTAGTTACGGCGTGAAAGCGGAACAAACAAACAAACTCACTTTCCGATTTATAATATTAGTAAAGATTAGAATATTAAACCTGTATATTAATATACCTTTAATTTCTGCACTCATTTATAATTTCTACGTTTATTCATCGTAAGATTTTGGTAGAGAAAGATGTATTGGTAAACATGTAGTTACGTCTCCTATAGACTTCTACATCCCACTGACTCCGGTCCGAAACAACAAGCATCCAGCTGCCCCCTTACTCAAGCTTATCAAAAACAAATTTTCTTGAGCAAAGTGTGTGTATGCGCGAGTTATAAACATTGAGCAGTTGCCACATGATTTGTGTTGTATTTTCATTGTTTTCTGTGATAACGATACGTATAATATACGCGGTTGTACGTGCAGGTTTACACGTACGTTTCTCTAAACAAATATATATAAGTTGTATAATTTTGTAGGTATAGGTTCAACATCTACAATCTAAATATTGCGATTGAATAACATCTGACTTCTTCAGGTATATGGCGCGGATAGCAACAGGGTTGGTTTTAGATAGGACTGATCACTTAGAATAAAATTTGTATCTCGTACCTTTTCTCTTCTTGTCTAATTAAAACTTCATAAACACATTCTTACCTCTATAATCACATATTTTATACATTGAAGAATTTGAAATGTTATACTATTATGTTCTACGAATTCTATCGAAAAAACCTCATACATATATTTTATTACGCGACTGTTTCTTTGGCCGAGTGGTCGGCAAGTGCGACTGCTGGACAAGGGGTCTCTAGTTCGATTCCCGAGTTAGGCATATTACTGTGTTTTTACAAATACTCAGTAGTAGGACGGAGTCTGGAATGGTGCCCAGTAGCAATATGCTCACCTCCTATTACATGGGACTTATAACATTAAAGTGAAAAGTGCATGGGTGTTACACTATACAGTGGCTCTAATGTCGGAATACTGAAACGCTACTCAATTTTAAGTCGTGCTTAAGTATAGTTCTGTCTCTACAAATTCTTTGTAAAATGACAGAGATGGCACGATATTTGAGCACGACTTAAAATTGAGTAACGTTTCAGTATTCCGGCATAAGTGCCGTAATGCCAACCCGGGTATAGAAGGCGTGATGTTATATTATTAGTATTAAATTGAGGGTTCTCAAAAAAGGGTTTTACCTACAACCGAACCCCAAAACCGTTGCTCCGAATTTGCCCTTGTAAGCCATAAGATAAACAAACATAAGAAACATAATTTGTATATTGGGATTTCAGAATTTATTCTTAGTTTATATTTGGCTTGTAAAGTTTACTGAGTTCTTACCCTCTCTCTTGGGAAAACTCTTATTCACTGATATTCTATTTTAGTCTTTACTTCAAGTTTTTTTTTAATAGCATAAGCCGGTAAATGAACAGACGGATAACCTGATGGTAAGCAATCAGCGTCGCCACTTGGAACACCAGAGGCGTTACAAGTGCGTTACCGGCCTTTTGGGGATTTGGAGTTTGAGGATCGTTGGGGATTCAGGGATTGGGGAGATTGGGAAAGGGGAGGGTAATTAGGCCTCCGGTACCTCAACCTCTTTACTTCAAGTCAATTACGTATCGTCATAAGAAGGCGTATCACGTATTTAATTTCTTGGAGAAAAGGAATTGGAATCGAACCCGAGACCCCTTGCCCAGCAGTCGTACTTGCGACCAATCGGCCATCGAGGCATACAAAGATTTATTACTTTCGTCGTATTTGCCAATTTAAAAGTAATTTCTTTGATAAATATTGACTTATCACCTCTTTGTTACATTGGATCAAAAGTTCAGTGTTAAGTTTCTTATCTTTTTATTTATGTTTAAAAATCACGTAGTTCTGAGACAAGCTGGTGGGTTATTTTATTTTTCATTCGTTCTCAGTTCGTAGTGGATTTTTCCGCTTGATAGTGACCAGTCACTTTAAAGAAAATACAAAATAAATAATAGTCAGTCCGTCAGTGAAGTTAGGTGAAGCTAGGTGCTCATTCCAAAATATAGATTCGAATGGAGAAAAACGAGCAAGAAACTCCACATGTTACTCTTTTTAAAAAATATGTTCTACAATGTGTCTGATACTCTTACTATCGTGAGGCACAATAGAGTTATTAACTCACGTTAAGTCAATTGCTCGATGATGCTCGATTAGTTTCTAACCAAAAACGGGGTCCATAATCACGCCAAACATAATTGCTAAGTAAGCCTTCTTTCTTAAGAAAGGGTTTGTCTTAATCTCCACGAGTAGCAGGTGGCTTAGGGATCACCATGCAAGTTTATGTCTGTGTGTAAAAATAATTCCCTAAAATTCCTCTGATTCGGTTCTTACAAAAGATATTTCTATCTACTCATAAAACAATTAGTAATGCTCGTAAAGTATTTGGAGGATGGATATTTACGGCGTCTGCGCATGGTGACGGTTAACTTAATGGTTGCGGTTGAATACCGTAACAACGTGGTTAGAATAACTTCTCTGGGACATATATTCTGATCCCGTTTCTACTGTTCGAATTCATTTTGGGAATACTAAAATTTTGAAAACAAGTATCAAATCAGTTGTTAGGATGACAGTTTAAAGTGATACCATATTGGAAAGTAGTACCATCAATAATGGACATACATAGCATAGACTCTGCTACTATGTTTGAGGTTTGGCGATAAACCACTAAGATCTAAGGTACCATAGTAAAATGCGTGCTAGCATCTAAATCCGCGTCAATGAAACCCAAAAACCATAAACAAAAGTAACACATAACAAACATATTATCAGTTCGAATCCCACACAAGTTGTGGAGTCAATTGAGGAAACTGCTCATTAGAACGGTCGTAAGCAGCGAACTAGTAAATTACTACTATTTGAGCTATAAACTAACATTTAAGTACGGAATGCCTGTAAAGGCTCGTGTACACGAGACGCTGCGGCCGTACCGCCATCGTACCGCCCGCTACGCCTCTTTGCTGTGTATACATTCGTCACCGGGCCGTCGTTTGCGAAAAACGTTTTTCGGCAGCTAGCAATGTATTACATACAATAGGGTACATGCCTAATTTTTATTTTAATGTCCGTCTGGTAGATAATTTTAAAACATTAGACACGTATTTTTTATTTTCTTACAGAAACGAATACTTTCGACGATATATTGATTTGAAATGTCGCGTGACGTCACTTCTATGTACATTTTTACGTAGAAATGATGTTTTAGCACCCACTCTAAAACTTTCTTTCGTTATATCTAAGTATTATTTTATTACACAAAACAAAATAGATTTTTAATTTACATACCCCGTCATCATCCTTATTCTACAATGGTATGGTAAAATCGGCATGGACGCATCGGCGGTGGCGCGGCGGTGGCGCCGTATACACGAGGCCTAATATTTAAGTACAGACTGTCCGTAACGTTCAGCAGTCAGCTGTTCAGAACGGGGCTGGTAATACTCAGTTCAACTGTTTACATTGAACGGTTAGATGCGATTCTTTGGTCGTAAATGGTCGTATATTTAGTTCCTTAGTAGTTACTGTGAGATTTTTCCGGTGTATGACAGATTCTATTATAATGTAAGATATGCGTAGGGAGGCATGTGTCTTATCCATAGATTAAATAAAGTGTGTGTAACTAGGGCCTGCGTTATTTTATACCCCTTTGTACAACTGTAGGTACATGATGAAATACCTGGATAAGACTAGCATTCGACTGCAGCGGCTCAAGTTGTCTGTTTACCTTATGAGAGGATGTACTTTGTATATTACAATTTACAATCATTGATTACAACTACACTAGGTACTGTGAAATTCACTCAATGCCCTATTGTACTAGTAACTCACTAAGGCAATAAGCATCTATGCACTTTGTATAATTCGCTTGACCTCATCGTTTATCTAATTAGTCCCACTTGAGCATCGACGGATCAATTAGCTTGTAAAATTGCATGTCAAATAGAGAAACTACTTAAAATCTAACCAGCTGTGTTAGTAATCTGGGGTGGGACCTAAATGGCCTGATTTCAGATTCAGATACATGGTAATCTAATCGGCATCGGTGAGGTTTATAGCAAACGAAATGTTACATAAAACGAAGCCATCTGGAGGTGAAACGGAGTTCGCCGGGTTTGCTAATATATTTTAAATTCAATGATGACATTAAATAAACTTTATTTCGTAAAAAGTTACATTGTTTACGTATGATGACACTATTAAATGCCCTGTGTTGCACGGAAGTATTAAATTTTATTAATAAAATTGTCGTTATTTTTTACTAAAGTTTGTATCTACCGTAGACATGGATAGGTCATAGATCTATGTCGTCACATCTATATTTATCGCTTTATAGCAACACGATGATGTAATTGATAAGCTGTTAATTTGTCGCGACAAACTGT